AAGTTAACCAACACAGTTTTGTATTCCTTTCTCCCAAAACCATCAAAATCTGTGCTATTGAAGTCACATCCTGAGAAAGGAATCAGAGACCCATGCAACAGGGAACTCTGCTCAATGTTATATGCCAGCCTGGGTGGGAGGGGGGCTGGGGGGGAGAAGGTGTGTGCGCGCGTGCTTAGTCGCTCAGTCATGTCCGACCCTTGCGACCCCATAGTCTGTAGCCCGCCAGGTTTCTCTGTTCATGGGATTCTCCAGGTTAGAATACTGGAGTGGGTTGTCATTTCCTTCTCCAGGGGATCTTCCCAACCCAGGAATCGAACCCAGGTCTCCTGCATTGCAGGTAAACTCTTTACCGATTGAGCTATGAATGGGTACATGTATATGTATGGCTGAGTCCCTTCGCTGTTCACTTGAAACTACCACACGTTGTTAATTGGCTATGCATGCATGCATGCTAAATCGCTTCAGTTGTGTTTGACTCTCTGCAGTCTTATGGACTGCAGCCCACCAGGTTCCTACGACCATGTGGATTCTCCAGGCAAGAATACTGGAGTGGGTTGCTATGCCCTCCTCCAGGAGATCTTCCCGACCCAGGGATCGAACTCAAATCTTTTAAGTCTCCTACACTGGCAAGCAGGTTATTTACCACTAGCGCCACCTTGGAAGCCTCTAATAGGCTATATTCCCATGCAAAATAAAAAGTTTCAAGTTTGGGGGTGGGAGTGGGGAAAAGATGCGCGTTTCTTTAAAGGGACCCAAACCTGCCTCCAGACCTGGGGCTGCAGGAAGATGGGCACTTCCTGCCCTGGGTCTGGGCTGCTCTCTGGACCGAGGCAAAGCTGCGGCTCCAGCCGTCTGCGAACCAAGCCCCTTCAGTCCGAGTTAACCACGTTGCGACTCGTAAGAACCAGCTCGGCAGCGGACGCCCCGTGGTCTCCCTTCCTTCCTCTCCGTGGGTCACCCTGGGGGCGGGGGGCTTCCGGGAGGCGGAAGGGCAGGGCTGGGCTCACAGTTGGGGGCCCTGGGGGGGGTGGGGGGGCAAGTGGAAGCTGAAGCGTCGGTGCTGTCGGGAAGATGCCTTCACGAAGGAGACAGCTCGGGGCCGAGAGGCAGGCCGCTCAGGATACTGACAGGGTATTCTGGCTGCGGAAGGCAGGTCCCACAACTCCAAAAGCGGCCTCGGGGCGACAGTGAGGCGCCCTCTCCCGGGGCTGGGCCCGTGGGTGTCAGAGGCGCCCACCTGTCCTCCAGCAGATAATGCGAAGGCCTTCCCAGCGAGCCTGGGGCATTAGAGCCGGGACTGAACATGCACCACTGACACCCCGCACGGGCTTATCTTCCGCGGAGACAGAAGGCCCCTTCTCCGTGCGACCGCGAAGGGCTCCGTCACGACGACGAGGCGTCCTCTCCCCACGCGCCGCTCTGCGCCCGATGAACAATCCCGGCTTATCGCGCCAGCCCGGGTCGGAGCCGCCCCGTGAAGCGGCGCCTTCACTGCCCGGCGCGAGGGCCTCGGCCGCCTGGCCCAGGCCGGTCAATGATCCATTATGAGCGAGCTCCATTCGCACAAGGCGAAGCGAAGGCGGCGACCCCGAGAATCGGGGCATTCACCGGGAAACCCGCTGGCCTCCCCCAGCGGAGGAGGACACCGACGTCCCAGCGCCTGGGGGATGCTCCCCGCACTGGCAGCCAGAGAACAGCGTGCTCGGACCTCTCTGCCAAAAGCACTCGTTTTAAAGGTAAACCTGAAAAATGCTTTGTTCGGGACACAGGGTGACCTGACCGGGCCAGACACGATTGTGATAAAAGTCCATCTTCCTAAACAAAGCTTTCCTTTAAATTATTTGGCAGCCCCAGATAAACCAATGTTGAGTGCCAACGCGAATCCCCACATGTAACTATCTATGATAAGGGTTTATTTACTAAACTCTGCGGTCACTTAAAAACAAGACTCGCTTCTATTCTGGTACCTCAGGCCACAGCTTCGGAATCGTCCACCCATTCAAGCAGAAATGCAGAGAAGACCTCAGCGTCATTCCACAAGTAGGGTATCTTTGATGAGGCTGTTTACCACAATGTGTCAAAAACCCAGTACATTCCTGGTTGAGCAGACAGAGATGCCATCTTTGCCTCCAGAGACAACAACATGCTCTAACAGTAAAGACAGCCTACTAAGACCCTTGCTAAAGGAAATATAAATTAATGTGAACATATAAGCTGCCCACATGTCCTTTTACTAAAATACAAAAACTCACAGTCAGCTCTGACCTTACAGGAGAACAACAAAAGCAGATGAATACACAATTAATTGATTACATTCAGAAAAGGCCCAGAATAAACAAGGAAGGACTTATGAATATTCTTTCCCGGCTGTTAGTAACATATCCTGGAAAACCCAGAACAGTTATCCCTGAGAAAGAGGCATCCACGTGAAAATAAAGATGATGGATTTTTTTTTTTAATCTCAAAAGGAAACAGGCGTCCTTTTACTGCTTTTTGTGCTATTCTCCAAAATGAATCCACTGAAGCTTTTTATTTACTAGTTCCCAAGTCTCATATTAAATAGTGGCCTTAGAAATCTATTTGTCCTTTAAAAAGGAAACTTCACAAAACTGGAAAAAAGGGGTGGGGGGGGGGGGGAGAAAAGTCTCTGGAGCCAGAGGTTGCTCTGCAGTCTCCTGCAGATAGGGGTCCTGCTGGAGCCCCAAGTCCACCACAAAGAGCTGGCGATCTGGCGGTAAACCCAGCTTCCTGGAGGGCCCCCACAGGGCTGAGTAGTTAATGATCTTGTCAACATTTCCAATAAGAGCCAGGCTTCCAGGAGCTCAGAACTGTATCTCCCCCAAGCTGGGCGGCTCCCCGAAATCTGTCGTCACCCAAGGGCTTTATAAAAAAAATACAGGAAAATCACTCGCTATTCAGTTCGGCAACCACAAAAGCACAAGTTTTTTACTTTCACTCTTTTTCCATCCTGCACTGAGACGATGAAAGGCAACATTTCCACTAATTCAGAAACACTGGAAACTCAGGGATACGGAGAAAATGAGGACTCATCAGTTTCTTTTTTAAAACAAACATGGAACACCAGAAGGCCTTAGACAAACGGCAGAGAAAATCCTGTTTAGAGGTCTTTACTCAAGCAAACCTCAAACGTGTAGAAACTGCCACCGATTTGGTGTCCAATTTTAATTTTTTTTTTTTTTTTTAGAAATTATCAAAAACAAAATAGTCATGGGCAGACACGTTATATTTTCTTACTATGGAACACTTCCTGGTCTAATGACACACCTTTTTGAAACATGTATTAACTCATTGCATAATAAATACATTTTAATTGAATTTGCTTCTAGAAATAAGCTGCATCTTATTTCATGTAAATCAACAGCAAAGGGCAATATCTGCCCCCAAAACATATACTGACCTGCTTTCTAGCCTTTTACTTAAAACCAACATTTCTCTCCCAGTATAAGAAAACAGATCACCATTAATACCTCTCAACTATTATCTCATTCTTCTGTGCTTTTATGAAAGCACCTGGAAGTCCCCACCACCGAGTAAAAGAAAGAATTGAGCCCACGAATACAGAGGGAGATAATTGCATGCAGTAAGCCATAAACCATCCTGTTAAACATTACCTTCCAGTGTAGTTCTGTGAGCACAGAACTCAGCCCCAAAAATGCCTTCGTGAGGAGCGCACAGCAGATAAATGCTTCAAGAAGCAATTGTACTAAATTCTAAGCAACAGCTTACAAACATTTTCTGTAAGAATACACTGAATTGAGTCCATTTTGGCAGGACAGCAGAAAGGAATATCATGTGAAAAGTTATTTAAGATCCTGTTTACCATTGTACTGACACCAACAGATACTGTAAGAGGGTCAGAATTATAAAAGGACAAGTGAGTGAGTGATAGTTGCTCAGCCATGCCCGACTCTGCGACCCCATAGGCTGCAGCCCACCAGGCTCCTCTGTCGATGGAATTCTCCAGGCAAGAATACTGCAGTGGGTCGCCATTTCCTTCTCCAACAAAAGGACAAATCCTTCCCCAGACACTTTCCTATATAAAGTGCATATACCATAACCAGTTTAAGTTTTTCAGATCTACGACTGCCTACAACTACTGTAACATGACCTGGTTTATCACTAACCCAAGCAGCTGGATATTCCAGCCTCTTAAGGAGAGTGATCTATCAGAGAATGTTTACAAAGCACAATTCTTGACAAGAACATGATGTCACATGGCTGTAGGACGTATCCTCCTTCCTGTCTAAAAATACACTTCCAAGCACAGTTAATGACACCTCGCTGCAAGTTCTGAATTCTGCAGATAAAAGACTGTCTATACTTTCCCTGCAAGGATAAAAGAATAAACAAACAAAAATCCACTTTCAGCCCCCACAATAACGTTATTGTGTGATTCAGCTACTAAAGTTAAGAAAATTCTGCACAAGGTCATAGATGAACTTGCAGAAATGAGGATGGAAGTGTTTTTCCTAAGTCAAAGCATCTTACCCAGCATCAGCTTTTAGAAACAGTAAATATAGAATACAACCAAGTTCTTTTCTTTTTTTAATTTCAGAGCTCCCAGCCCCACCCCATTGGTCCCTGGAGAGAAATGGTATCGAACTTGAAATGGAGTCTCTCCACTGGCAGTCAAGCCTGGATTATTCGGGAAGAGCTGTGCTTCTGAGCTCAGGACGGGCCTGCAGTGGACAGAGAGGCAGCAAGGGGCAGAGCAGGTGCTGCATACATTTACAGGAACCCAGAGGCCAAGATCCCTGATCAGCAGCCACGGCCGGATCGTCCATCTGGTTCCAGCTCAGAACTGGGTCCACAATGAAGGGTGCTGGGGGTGCCCCCTACCTCTCTTCACTCCCCACCCCCACTAACTACAACACCTCAGACCCCAGACGCCCTTTCTCGACAGGGTCTCCCTCTGTTCAGCCAGGTGCTGTAAGCTGCCCAGACCGGGTGAAGGGCCGCGTGGACACTGGTGGCAGATGACCCAAAGCCAGACCAGCAGCTGCCGGGCTCTCAGTGGCTGCCTCCAGGTGATGGACACCCTGGTCCAGGCCTTCACGTTCACTGCCCCTCAGGTATCAACAGCCTTGAGAAAGACTGAAGGCAAAAGGAGAAGAAAGCAGCAGAGGATGAGATGGTTGGATGGCATCACCAACTCAGTGGACATGAACTTGAGCAACCTCCGGGAGACAGTGGAGGACAGAGAAGCCTGGAGTGCTGCAGTCCGTGGGGTTGCAAAGAGCCAGACACGACTTAAGAGTTTGAACAACAACAACAGAGTTCACAAACCAAATCATCCACTGCTTGGTGAAAGAGAAAACTACTCATAAACTTCATGTCGTTCACAGAAGACACAGGTCAACACAAGTCTGTCCCGGAACAGGGCCATGTGACTACACAGCAAGGATGTGCCAGCCAGGTGTCCCGAGAGCACAGATCTGGGAAAGAAAACAGCGGGACCTGTGTGTCCTGCCCATGCAATTCGAAACAAAATGCAATCACCCTAAAGTACACGTTTCCAACTCAACTGTCTGAATGAGCTTCTGTCACATTATGTGATAACCACAACTAATGATCAGAGGCCGCCCTGACCTCCCGAGCAGACTGGGTGTGAGGGTGACTAACAGCTCCTGTCCAGCTCGAGGAGCAAGCAGGTCCCCTCAGCTTGAGATGCTATCACAGGGCTCCCCACTCCCGGAGGAAGATGCTCTGTCTCCCCACCCCTCCTCGCCCCAGTGGCGGGTGCTTCCTTCACTCCCGCTCTGAACCAGCCTCGGTCCAGCAGAACCCATCCGCCCTCCTGAGCCGGTTACCAGCAGCTGTACCGCTTCACCGACAGGGATCCAAATCCGAATCTGAACCATCACCGGGGACTTGTCAGCAAGAGGAGCGAGCACACGTGGGGCCTCGCTCAGTGACGGGCCCAGAGCTACAGCCCCCTCCGATCCCCAAATAACCCAGTGCGAGCTGGTGAGTCCCAGTATCGAAGGCCAACAGATGCCTGGTGCCAGGTCTCAGATACTAACCTGTTCCTCAGTGGCCAGCTGGGCACACCGCTCCCCCAAACAAGGGGCCCGTCCCTGGACAGAAATTGCAGTAAAACAACAGCTATAATTCCCGCACCCAGAATCCATGGTACATGACTGCCTCCATTCATGATGGATCATTGCCTTGCCCCTGTCTTCTGGAAGCCACGAGGAGGTCAGAACAGACTTTCACCACCTGACTCCTCAGTGATGTTTCTGACACAGAACTGGACACTGGTCACCACCACCAAGGCCCCCGATGCACTGGGGCAGCGGGACACTCCTCTGGGAACCGCGGTTGCTCCCCCACCTCTTGGGACCACGGCCCCTGGAAAACAGGACCATCCATCCCATGTGCAGGCAAATGAAGGAGGCCTGGGGTGGGGGGTGGAGAGTGCAGTCAGAGGGGTCAGCATCTCACCTGGACCCATGCCTTTGAGAAGCCCTGTGTAACGTGGCCTTTGGAGGAGAGTCATCTGTCACCCACAGCTTCTGCAATTGTGAGAAATTCATCCTTGGTGTTAGTCACTCAGTCCTGTCTGACTCTTTGTGACCCCATAAACTGTAGCCCACCAGGATCCTCTTTTCCAGGCAAGAACACTAGAGTAGGTAGCCATTCCTTTCTCCAGAAGATCTTCCCAACTTAGGGATCAAACCTGGGTCTCCCGCATTGCAGGCAGATTCTTTACCATTGAGCCACCAGAGAATCTTGTCTCACAAATGTAAAATAGAAGTGTCCACAAGCCTTGGGCCAGCGCCTGGGACCTCGTCAGCTCTCAGTGAACTCAGGTCCCTTCTTCTTTCCAACCCAAATCCAAGATTCGGTAACAATGTAAAACTCAAGGTCGAAGCAAAGAGTTGGACACAACCTAGCGACTAAACAACAACGAGGTGGAAGCACGTGGAAACCAAGGCCACTGCACAGGAAAGAGGTCAGAGGCCAGCTCTGAGCCCACATCCCATGTCTGGGGACTCAGGCAGCCTCGAGATGTTTGCTGCGGGCCGACCTGGGCCAGCCAGGCCACCAGGTGGTGCTCACACCTGGGCAAGTGTCTGGCTCACATGGCCATCAGTACCTGCAAGTCAGAATGCTGGCCTCAGTCCCTGGGGCAGGCAACTGCTCAAAGAAATGCTTCAGCTGCTTCCTCCTTTGACACTGAAAACCCGGTGATTTTCCCCAAATCCAGAGAGAAACTGTATAGTGTTAGTCACTCAGTCATGTCTGACTCTTTGAGACCCCATGGACTGTGGTCCACGAGGCTCCTCTGTCCATGGGATTCTCCAGACAAGAATACTGGAGTGGGTAGCCATTCCCTTCTCCAGGGGATCTTCCGGACCCAGGGATCAAACTCAGGTCTCCCACATTGCAAGTAAATCCCTTACTGTTTTGAGCCACATATAAACTTGCCCTTTTTGCCCTACTTTGCATCATATCTTTCAGATTAAAATCCAAGTCAGTATTTTCCTTTGGGCTTCTAAATGTTTTTCTGAGCATTTCCATCATGGCAGGGCTCTCCAGGCTTCCCTGGCAGTGGGGGCCTGCCATGGCCACACGGAGTCACGCACTCACACGCATGCCCATCGCCACGCCAGGCAGCTTGGGATCCTCCCAGACAAGCAACATCCCCTGCATTCTTCAAAGCCAGAGTCTCCTTCACAGCAAACCATCTCAGGACTTTACACACAGGACAACCTACACAATTACTGGCAAAAGAAGAAGACTCAGCACCATGGTCTCCTTAACTGCAGGTCGAACGTACTTGATCTTCCAGAATGTCTGTTCTGGTGAAAACCCCCAAGTCACAAAGGCCTGAGTCCACGCGTGTGTCCCCACTGCACATAGGGTGCAGAGAAAGATGTGCAGCCCCGCTCGTTAAAGACCACCCATAAAAACCAAAGATGGAAATAGGGACATCCCAGAGTTTGTAACTGGTTGATCACATCATTGCTTCCGGCACTGACATGGCTCCTCCCAGCAGAGAGAGGGAAGGTCTGTGCCTCCCAAAAGCCCTCTGCCCAGAAATACTGTCCCAGGAGCAGCCAGCTGCACAAATGTGGACAAGAAAAATCTTACTCATGTGCAAACTAACATCCTTCCCGCAAGGGTTTCCCAGACAGTAAAACTGAGAGTCCTCAGCCTCTCCACTCGTATCATGCTCTCTCTGCAGAACTGCTTACCCAGCTGTCTCTCAGGGAGAGAGTCCTGCAGAGTTGTGCTGGAATTCACTCTCTGATCCTTCGGTCCTAACAAAAACGGAGGTGACCACAGGGCTTCACCACAAGGTGTTTGTGCTCAGTTACTTGTCTATTTACCATCAGACCCCTTTGAACACGTTTCCAGTTAAGCTGGGAAGAGCAGTCCCATGCCAAGGTCAAAGTAACACCAGGTCTTAGCCTGTCCTCAATCCGCAACTGTGAAGTCCGACGGATTAAAAAGGAAGGAATGTTCATGGAACCAAATCTGACTTTCCCAGAAGATGGAGGTGACGTTGGTGCGCGGGAGAAGACACCCCCCAGCCTCTCAAGAGTCTGAAACGACCGAAGTCGGTATTAAAGTAATTACCTTTTTAAGAAAAGTTTGCTATTGCTTTTCAACAAGAAAGAAGCAAAGTGTTGTGCCTCCCAAAAGCCCTCTGCCCAAAAATACTGTTCCAAGAGCAACAAGCTCCACAAATGTGGGCAAAAGAAATCTTACTCATATGCAAATATCCTTCCCGCAAGGCTTTCCCAGACAGTAAAACCGAGAGTCCTCCACCTCTCCACTCGCACCACACTCTGCAGGGCCTTTTGTTTCATGGGCTTCCCCGGTGGCATGCGGGAGACCCAGATTCAATCTCTGTGTCGAGACGATGCTCTGGAGAATGAAATGGCAACCCACTCCAGTATTCTTGCCTGGGAAATTCCATGGACAGAGGAGGCTGGCAGTCTACAGTCCATGGGGCCTCAAAGAGCCGGACAAGACTGAGCGACTCTCACATTTTCTCTGGTTTCGTAATCTTGACCGTCCATTGATGCCAGCTGTCAGCGCATGGCCAGCAAAGACCTGCCGTGCAGCGTCCCGAGCCCCACCAGGAACACCGCACCCCGAGTGACTCATCCTGGACCGCGGGTCTCGGGGCCACACCTCCAGGCGGCCCGGCACGGCCTGGCCTGGCCACTGGCGCTAACAAAGCAGAGCACTTGAGCCTGGTTCCAACTGAGGTGTCCTAGTGTTCCCACCCGCAACCCCCCGGAAAGTCCTTCCGGACATATCTTACCGCGAGCTACAAGAACAGCTCTTGCAGACATCTTTTAAAGTCTAACATGAAGTATTTCTGCTGCATGAGCCACAAGCAGTGCGTGGAAGTCTAGCTTCTCCATCATAAATTAAACACACCCTTTGATAAATGACAAAGGCAGGCAGAGATCCCCGGAAATCAGAGCTCATGGTAATTTCCCTTTCTTCACTCGCTCAGGTGACATGTTCTCATCTCCAGGCTTAGCTGGAAGACACAGGTCCCTCCCAACAAAGGGGATATGAGCACCGCTGGTGTGGTCCGGCCAAGCACACAATGGACCCGCCTCCACAGAGCCGCGTGAAGGTCCTGGCCGCCTCTTTCCCAGATCTTCCTAGGGGCACCTGCTCCCCGACACCGGGAGGCCGGCACTGAGGGGGCAGGTGAGAACAGCTAACATGTTTTGAGTGCTTGCCAGGTGCCAGGTATGAGCATATCTCACCCATCAGTCCACCTCCCCTGCGAAGGAATTATGGTCATCCTGGCCACTTTATGAATAAGGCAAGTGGGACACAGAGAAGGCCAGCACCTGGCTGAGGTCACACAGAATGGAGGTGGCCGGGCAGGGAGGCCAAGTGCCTTGCTCTGGTGAGGGAGAAACAGGCTGGAGCTCCACGTTCTGATATTTAAGAGGTCACCTCGGAATAAAGATGGCAGAAGGCAGCAGATGAAAGGGAGAAGAGAAACGGGTGGGAAGGCGCAGGCCAAGGGAGGACCAGGCAGGGAGAAGCTTCTAGAGCCAGAGGCACGTGATGTGCTGGAGCAGGGGGGAGA